GAAGGGCTTGTTTTTACAGGTGACGCCGCTAACATTACCCGGTAACACTTTATTTGAAGAGGGTGTGAATAAGACTGTCATGAGACTGTCATAAACACCTGTCATGAACATGAATAAGCCTTCATGAATATTTATGACTGTTGTCATAAAGCGTCATTCGGTAAATTATGACACTTTTAATACAAAGTTGACATTATTCAAAATGTCTTTATTATGACAACTTGACATTAACCAAGAAATCATTACTGTTCAAACTTTACCTTTAATAACATAAAGTTACCTACTTTTTAAAGTGCAATCAGTAATACTTTTATAACAAATTTATATCAGTATTGTTTTCTTGGTTAATGTCAAGTTGTCATAACAAAGACATTTTGAATAATGTCAACTTTGTATTAAAAGTGTCATAATTTACCGAATGACGCTTTATGAGAACAGTCATAAATATTCATGAAGGCTTATTCATGTTCATGACAGGTGTTATGTCATGTTTATGAAAGTGTCATGACAGTCTTATTCAACCCCCTTCAAATAAAGTGTTACCAAAAATTCTTTGTGAGATTTTGTGTTTTTGCAGTTTCGTAGCAGCCATTATACAATGCATACAGCGTTAAAAACAGCTATATATATTGCATCTTTAGATATTTTAATTCATGAAAGGATGATCTAAACCAAATCTGATTAAATATAAATGTCCAGATCATTAAGGAAAACTTGAGTTACTCACAGTGCTGATGGGGTACAGCGGGTTCTGGATGGACAGCAACAGAACCTTGTTTTTGCTGGTCGGGTCGTCTGAGTTGGTGGGTCGGGTGATTCTCTGGCTGGTGGAGAAGTTGAAGAAGGCCTGCTGGTTGGCGATGAAGACAGGCTCGCTGCCTCCGCTCCTCACGCATCGCTCCGCGCTCTCCAAGCTGTCGAACTCCACCAGAGCCTGACGCTTGAAGGGCATCATCATCACATAACTGAGGGGGGGAAACAGACAGTAAAACACAGACAAACTGGCTCTATCCACTCAGAAACATGCAATTTGTTATATTTATCTATAGAAAATATTTAAAATGCGTTATATCAAGAGTTGGGTACTAACTAGTTACATTTACTTTAGTACTGTTTTTGGCAAAAATTTACTTTACTGTGCTATCCACAGTACTTTTTACTTTTACTTTAGTAATATAACTGCACTGCAAAAACACAAAATCTTACCAAGTATCTTTGGTTTAATTTCTATTGCAAATATGTCAGTATACTTAAGACGACAAAAATAACTTAAAAGTAACTTTTCAGCGAAATATAGGAGCTTGTTTTGAGTCAATAATTTCTTAATATTGATGAAAATGTGCTGGTTCCACTGGCAGGTTATTTCACTTACAGCAATCTACTTTTCCCATGTTATAGGTGAAATAATCTGCCAGTGGAACAAACACTTTTTCATCAATACTAAGGATTTATTTACTTCAAACAAACAGAAAAAATACGGAAAAGTTACTTATAAGTTAGTTGTGTCTTATTTTAAGTGTACTAAGATATTTGGATGAGGAACTAAATTGGTGAGATTAAGCATTTCTATTAAGTATTAAGTCTTACCTGTAAAACTTACACCAAACTATAATTTCACAAGATGCTCATTTTCATTTTTTGTTATTTTTGTTGTTTGAGTTTTCATAAAATGACTCTCCTATTATTATTATTATTATTTCATTATTTCAACTTTACAATTGTATTCTCATGATTTTGAATAAAAAAATTATAGCATGATTAATATTCCTATTCAGGGCTGACCTAAACTTAAAGTCCAAATAAAAACAAGCCTTTAAACATGTTTATCAAACAAGATGGCCGCCCTGGTGTGCTGACATCACTTTGAACTGTGGGAACCCAAGAAGTATATTAGTGAAAAAAAAACAACAACCTGATTTTCCAAAAATCTGGATTTTTGATTTTTTCTCAAGAACCAAAAATTTGATTAATTGATAAAATTGATTTATCAGCCAGCCCTAAAGACAGTTAAATGATTAATTAGTAAGAAGCTCTGTCTCTAAACAGTTTAGCTTGAGATGAATTTAGGCAATAACACTAATTTAATTAGATGTTTCCACTGAATTATCCATCCCTGATTTGTGACATGTTCACATAGTATGTTAGTGGACTGGATAAAATGAGTTAAAACAATAATAAATCATATTTAAAGTTAAAAACTACCAGATGGTGCCAAACTTTTCAAGCACTTCCACCAGGTCGGCCTCCACCACAGCGTCACACAATCCTCGGACATGAACGACGGGCGAAGGGGGAATGAGGTGACTGTCCTTCACAAAGGAAAAAAAAGAAATGTTACATTTATAAGGAATAAGACAGCTAAAAATGAACAATAATGTAAAATAGATTTAGCATGTTAGCATTTTCATGACGATGACAATGCAGCCATAAAATCTGTGGAATCATTTATTTCCACAGAAATAAGTGATAATAATAAGAAACACAATAATAAGAAGAAGAAAAAGTGAAAATGAGATTGCTACGAATGTTTACCAGTTTGTAAAGGTGAAAGAGAAACAAAAGATGAAAAAGAAGCAGAGCAACACAGAGGAAATACTTAAATGTCAGAGTTACAGTAAAGAGTACACTGCAAAAGCACAAACACTACCAAGTATTTTTTTTATCTTGTTTCTACTGCAAATGTCTTAGTACAAATGAAATATGACTTTCTAAGAAACAAGAATTTCTTCCCATTTTATAAGTGAAATAATGGAACTAGGACACTTTTATTTATATTAAGAAATTATTTACCTAAAACCAGCTCCTCTATCTTGCTGAAAAGTGTGCCAAGATATTTGTATTGGAAACCAGACAAAAAAATACTTGATAAGATCTTGTGTTTTTATAGTGTAGGTGAAAACAGACGGTTCACCCAAAGACCAGCACTGATATTATATGGCTTCAAGCAAATAAACAAGATTAGAACCAGAAGGAAGAATGAAAATAGTGAAGACCTGGTTGAGATTGGAGCTAACAATTATTCTGATGATTAATCGATTAATCAGATAAAATAAAACATTAGCACATTCTACAGATTTGTCTTTTAAACACTAAAACCTTTTAATACAATATTAGAAATGATGTAAAAAGCATATAATTAATTTATTTAAACTTTTATCTGAGAAAATAAATATTTTACTTCATTAAATATAAATGAATTTGATCCAGGTGAAGCTCAAATTATTCCACCTGACAAGGTTTGGCTAAAAAATATCTACATACAAAAATATATCCAATTATTTTGTTTTGTGTGTTTTTACAGCAACATGTCTGACGTTCCAAGCCACAAAGCAGAGATGGAGGCTGACCGCACGTTGTGCTGCAGCCGAAATGTGAAAACTTCACGTCAAAGGTCTGATGAAAACTCTGCACATAGAAAACACAACAGAAAGGACAATGTAGTAACCCACCCCACCCCCATAACCAACCACACACACACACACACACACACACACACACACACACACACACACACACACACACACACACACACACACACACACACACACACACACACCTTTGATTTAACTCAGTGATCAGAGGAAGGCTTTAGCGCTGAGAAACTCTTGGTGTGAGCAGTTATCATCAAATCACTTCTGCCCATCTGTTCATCAAAAACACTGACACCTGAAAACCACAACTGCACAACAATACACGTCTTATTTATCAGAAACAGGGCGGGCTTAGGGCTTATAAAAACTAAACAAAAAGTATGCACAGTCTATATAGGTTAGCAAAACTGGCCACAGAAGGTAAAACAATAAGTGATTGAGACGTTAGTTTTTTCATTTTAAGATGCAACAACTGAGATTAAACTTCTCCAGTGACTCTTCTCTCTTCAGCTGATTCTACTGCAAACATATTTCACTTCCAGATTCCTCAAACAGAATTACTTCATTTCACTTCATGTTTCACTGGCTTTCAGCGAAGGTTCAGGATGTTCCTGTTGTTTCTGAAACTTATTTAAATGAGTAAAGTGCTGCCGAATGCAACACTAGCTGTCTATACACTGCAAAAACACAAAATATTACCAATAATTTTGGTCTATTTTATGGTGCAAATATCTTAGTACACTTTAAATAAGGCAAAATTTAATTACATGTAACTTTTCTGCAGATAAGAACTTGACTTAAGTCAATATTCCTTAATATTGATTCCATTTGCAGATTATTTCATCTGACAATGGAAACTACGTTTTCATCAATAGGAGCAAATGACTTAAACCAAGCTCTTATTTGCTGCTGAAAAGTAACATGAAAGTTAGTTTTCTCTTATTTCTAGTGCACTTACATTTTTGCACTGGAAACTAGACCAAAAATACTTGGTAAGATTTGGTGTTTTTACAGTGTGGTTCATAAATATGTAAAGAAAATAAATCTGCCACAAAATGTTCTGTGGTTTGATATCTTCCATCACACACTCTTGAAGTTTTGCTTTATCTTGTCTTTTTAAAGATCTCTGAACATTAAGAACTGGTCAGTAGACCAAAATTACTTGGTAAGATTTTGTGTTTTTGCAGTGTATTTGAATCTAAAATGAAGCTAAAATGATCCCAGTTGAGGAATTTTAGCTAAAACTTAGTTTGGTATGAAGTGGAGCTAATGTGCTAACAATCATCAAGTTAAGGCCAAATTAAAAAAAGTCTGATGCTACATTGTGACAAAAAGACTAATGTAACTAAAATCTGCTTCTTAAAATAAACCATCTAATGAATATTATTTATACTCATTGCAAATAATAAAAAAATCAAACTAAACCAAAAGAATTGGACGTAATGTATGCATTCAAGTGGTACCTTTATGACTTTTTGCACAACACAACCTTTAGTGAAAACATACATCTATAAACTTATAGTTCATATCTTGTTATAAGTTTTGTGAACTTTAAGAGAATCACAGAATGAATGTGTGGAAGTCTTTAAAGTTGTAAAATAACGCCTTAAGGTTTGTGCAGAGCATCAAGAATCTGAATGTAACACTGAGTCAGAATGAGGATGGCTGCAAGCGGAAACATCTTCTGCACGGTGGCGCGGCCGACAAACAGAAGATCCTCATTGTCTTTGTCAGAAGGAGGTTATGCAAGCATGTGGGTTTTGCAGCCTGACCTTTTCTGCAGCTTGACGAAGCTGCAGGTTCAGATTGAGATCATTGTCGTTTGCAGTGAAGCCGAGCTTTCTTGTTTCGCTGCCTGCAGTCTGCAGACCAGACAATGCAGACAACAACAATCTCGCAAAAAAAGCCCAAATAGTTTCTTGTTTGAGAAAGAATAGGTACATGTGATAAAATAAATATCATCGTGAGCAAGAAATTTGACTGATTGATTGATTGGTTGACTGAAATTGCACCAAACACAATTGTATTCCAATATAAAGCTGACTGTGTTTAACTGAATTTAATGTATTCCAGTTAAATTGGATTAGGGCTGAATCAGATTAATTGTGATTAATCAATTATTAAAATAATCATCAACTGAATTAGTAACCGATTAATCTTAATTGGAATATACAGAGTAAAAAGTGAATTGATTTTTTTCATTTTTATGTCATTCTAATATTGCAAAAAAGCTTAAGAGGTTAAATGAAAAATTACAAAATTTGGACATTTTCTGTTATCTGATTAATCGATTAATCATCAGAATAATTGGACGATAGATAATCGTTAGTTACAGTATCACCTCCACAGTATAATCTTTAATCAGCAACGAATCTGTCTGTCTGTCTATTGAATTTATATCCAAATCTGATTGTGTTTAACTGAATTAAATGTATTTGGATTACAAACCGAAGAGTTAACCACAAATAGATGTGCCAAAATGACCACTAGTCAGTTACCAACAGCTAAACACAAAGATGTATACAAATAAAACTGATAAAATTTCACATTCAAAGCTACTTTTCTCCTTAGACTGCAGACTTTGTTGAAAATCCATGAAGAGTGCATGTTATCGCTTCATTCACACATAAACATTACCAAAAGTTATTTTATAAGCTTTCTATTTTCCTTTGAGAGATGAATTGTTGTTTCTACCAAGGTAGACAAATACTCTACAAAAACAAAAAAATCTTATTTTTGTTTTAGTTTCTATTGCAAATATCTTAGTACACTTGGAATAAGACAAAAATAAATTAAAAGAAACTTTTTTAGCAAGATAGGAGTTTGATGTAAGTCAATAATTCCTTAATATTGATGAAAAAGTATTATGGTAGTTTCAATGACATATTATTTCACTTAGAATAGGAAAAAATATATATATTGTAATAAGTAAAATAAACCGCCAATAGAACAATTACTTTTTTTCTCCATGTTTTAAGTTTATTGACTTAAATCAAGCTCCAAGTGTACTAAGATAATTGCACTAGAAATTAAACCAAAAATGTTGTGTTTTTGCAGTGCAGTTTGGCTGATATTTTTGAGCCGTACCACCAGAAACAATAACAGCCTCAACTGTTCTCACGCCGGTTACTATAGCAACACCAACCGTTAGTCGTTCAGTCGGGGTTAGCTACACATAATGGAATTCTGTCGCCATGGTTACTCTCCCTCTCTGTGCAGACACACACATGCTGCCCTGTCGCCGTGGAGACCAGGCCTCAGTTGGTGGAAGGAAGGTTGTGCGTCTTTATTTAGCCTGTGTTTGCACGGCAGGGAGGAGGTGTTGTGTTACGGGTAGCATCCTTCCTGTCGACTCACACCTGATACTTTTTTCTTCTGGTCCCACTGACGGGATTAAACCGACGGCGTGAAAATGGAGAACCATCAGAACAATACGCGATTTGTTTGATTGTCTACGTTTGCAGCTGTATTGTTTATACTTTTAATAAGTTTAAAGTAACTCCCTAGTGCAGGGCTCTAAAGTGTGACCGATTTCTCAATAGTGCACCTAAAAAAAAATACTTGAGGTCGCAAGAATACTTGAGGTCAAACTAGTGCGACCAGTTAGTCGAGTAAAAAGATCATCAGATGAGATCTGAGATGATTATCAAGTTTAACGCTGCCTACAACAAAAACTTCCTTTCACAAACTTTATGTCCGAAATAAGTTTTCATAAGAAAAATTGCTTGAATCTCAGTTTGAAATGTTAAAATATTAATATTTACCATTATTTTATCTTATAAAGTTAGATTTTCAACTAATTTGAATTTTTTTCAGTGAATAACTGGATTTACATCATTCTACATAAACCTGTTTATGTTTATTAGTTTGTTTAGAAGTAAATATTTTCTTTATGCAGGTGAACATTTTGGTGCTCCTATCTTTCCCATTGGTGCACCTACAAAAAAACGTTAGGCTCACCAGCATAACCAGTGCAAAACACCAGTGGATGGATGGTCCAGTTGAGTTTAATCATCTAAATTTAATCATCGCCAGTGGCAAAGACAAACGTTGTCCAGTAAACCCTTGGTACATTTTCACTATCTAGATGTCTAGCTAATGTAGATAAATTTACACTATATACAATATCTAGCTAGCAAGATGTTACCTTAGCAAGTAAGTATTAGCATTTTGTGAGAAAGTCAAAACTGTCTCAAAGTTTTGCCTCGTAGAAAAGCCTGGCATCGAATATACAAAATTAAATAGTCCTGTCACATAAAACTTTAATGAATTTTAAGGCCTTAATTTTAGATACGCCAATTTAAGACCTTTCAAGGATGTTCAGACGCCCTGAACTTGAATTTTTCTAGTCTCAGCTAACCAAAAACAAGACAAGATTACTCTGATTTGATGTTAGTCAGTAAAAAAAAAGTTTATATGTTGTTTTTTTAAATTCAGTGCATGTAGGTATCTAGTTTTGGTGGTAAGGTGCATGCAGGGTTAGCTTTAAGTTATAGTGGCATATGATTCTCAACTACATCAGCTGGCTGACCCACAAACATGAAAAAACCCCACAGAAAACCAGAGAAACAGCTATAAGGGTCACACATGGAAACCTTCCTGTAAAGAGTGGCTGCATTGAGTCCAGTTATGTATGTAGAGATACGACCTTGCTTCCTGCTGAGGGCAGACATTTCCTGTCACAGCCACATTCTCACTAAGATGTTGTGTTGCCCTCCTAAAAAAGACTCAGAGCTTTAAATGACGTGCACTAAAGAACAGAAACAAACAGAGACTCATTTATAGATAAATTAGACCTCAGAGATTCAACTTTTACCTGTGGACAAAATAGACAGACTTTCCAAAAACACAAGCAGAACAAATTTCTGTTTAATTTAATTTAATTTTGAGAGAGCACTTTTATTTAGATTAACTGACACGGGAGACGCTACCTTAAAGGAGCATTACTATGTGTTTTCCAGGCCATTTTACATCATCAGGTAACTATCAAATATGACTTAAATTAATTTTTTTTTTGTAATTTAACCCCTCTGTTGCTCTCCTGCTCTTTCTACAGGAAGTAATCACAACATGGTTCCTCTATTAACCCTTTATCAACGTTTTCAGCAGGGTTTTTATGAGAAGTCACTCCTATAATGAGCTCAGCTGACCACAGTTCCACCAGGTGTTTGCTAATTGCTCCTGGCTAGTCTGAAGGAGCCTGGGGAGGGGTGATTTATGAAGCAGAAGCTTGGAAACTGCAGCTCTGAGGAGGAGGAGCAAAGCCTCGAAGGCGGAGCTAGGTCCACCCAGGCGTTTTGGACAGCTGAACGGTCACCATGGAAAGAAGGAAGGCAACACTCCAGATGTGGTTTTGACAAGGAAATAACATTATAACATGATGTAAAGCTAAAGAAGTTGATTTTACATAAAACTGCCACTATGAAGCAGAGTCCAGGCAGATAAACTGAACAGATAAAGGCAATGTAAAATTGCCCACTTTGAATTTATTAATGTGTAATTAGACAGAGCAAATTGCTGGGACTATTTTTCAGTCCTTTGCTAAACTAAATGGAAAATATACAGAATTTAAACACAGACACATTAATCTAGCTTTAGGGAAACTAAACACACTTTGGGTTTGGTGCAATTATGAATTCATTGCACCAGTTATAGTTAAAAATATAGAAATTTCTAACTAAGAAACAATGTTATAACCAAGCTAACATTAAAAGTAATTTATTGGATGGGTTATTGGATTTAAAAATAATTTGTACTTTTACCCACTTCTTTGAATATGTAAATATACTTTATAGGATTTGTTCTCATCTTGCTATGAATATAATTTTGTTTCTTCTTTTTTTAACTCTACATTCAATAAAGTCAAACTCAAACATGTCAGGGGAGTCAGTAATTCCTTAATATTGATGAAAAAGTACTAGTAAGCAGATTATTTCACTTTTAAATAACTTATTTACTTAAAACAGGATTCCCTGTTTTGCTGAAAAGGTAATTTTAAGTAAGTTTTGTCTTATTCCACATTTCCACTAGAAACAAGGCATAAATACTTGGTAAGATTTTGTGTTTTTTCAGTGAATTACTATAATTTTCTTTCAACAATTGATAATTTAGCCATCATCATCAGATTTGCAGATTTAATGCTGAATAGTTTTACTGTCACCAGAAGGTGTGAGTCTCTGCAGCGCCGTCAGAGTTACGATGGGCCTGCCTCTCTGCTTACCGCTCTGCTGGCCCAGACTGTGAGTTAGAGCCACTTAAAGGCGCCAGAATTTATTTAAAGGTCAGAGAGTAAAAGGGTCTGAAAATATATGCTGCTCCAGAATTTTATATGCAAAAAAAGTTGGTGAAAATCATGAAAACAAAGGAATTATGACAAAAATGCACAGTGAAAAAACATTAAATATTAATTAACATAATGGAATAGTGATAAGAGTAGTCAATGTACAAGAGTGCTGCATTTCCCCACCAAATATACAGCTCTGGAAAACCTTAAGAGACCACTTAAAATGATCAGTTTCTCTAATTTTACTCTTTATATGTTGATGTTTGTGAACATTGTTCTTTTATTCTATAAACTACTGACAACATGTCTCTGAAATTATAACCATAAATTTTGTATTTTTGCAGAAAATGAGAAATGGTCAAATAACGAGGAAGATGCAGAGCTTTCAGACCTGAAATAATGCAAAGAAAACAAGTTCATATTCATTTAGAAACAACTACAGTAACGTCTTAGCTATGGAAATCAATATTTGGTGGATTAACCAGGAGGTTTTCAATGGGCTTCAGTGCAGTGGGCTCTTCATTTAGTCCAGAGCTGTAAATATAAGAGCTGAACCTTCAGATTCACATGAAGATAGTTACAAAGTCGGTCTTTAGTCACCTGAAGAACATTTCAGCAAACTTAATCTTCAAGTTTGCTTAAATGTAGAATTGTAAAAGAGCCCTTGAGCCAAATAAACGTAATTTCGTTTTGTGTTCACTGAATGACAAATACAAGTCAAAGTCAAAATAACTTTAGCTTCACCCAGTGTGACACTTTGTGCATTTCGTGTATTGTTTTTTTTTTTTTTTACATTTCAAAACTATTTACTCCGCTCCTTAAGTAAAAGAACATAAAAATCAGATAAAGGCGCAAACAGTTCTCGCATGAGTGATAAAAGTCATCCTAAGGTAACGGTTCTGAATTTGTATGAGAGATAAGACAGATACGCCTCATTAAAAACAAAATCAGATGAAGATGTCGTTCTTTTTACATAATGTTTTACATTTTTCTCCCGGTTTAATATATTTTTAACCAACCTTCCTCCTTCGGCTCCTGCTGTCGTTGCATCCGCTCCCCGCTGCATCCTCCTCGGCGGAGCCCGTTTCTTCCTCCTTCTCTTCACCTTCCTCCAGATCCCTGGCACCGGCCTCCTCTTCTTCCTCCGTCCGGGGTCGTTTGGCTGAACGGTAAAATCCTCCTTCTCCTCCTTCTCCTCCTCCTGACTCCTTCTCCTCCATCGGAGACAAACAGTGAAAGCGCTGATTGCTGAAGACGAGACGCCGAGCGATGACACCTGCTGTCTCACTCTGTCTGTTTGTCTCGTTGCGTCTCTCTGCCTGCAGAGCCCCGGTTACTTTTCTGCAAAGATAGTTAATGAAGAAAGATGTCTTACTCTGTTACCGTTCCAAGCGTAGGAGTTATCGTTCAGGTTTACCTTTGCAGTTCGCATTAGTTCTGATTATGTCTACAAGAATTATGTAAAATAATATTTGTTTACATTTACTAGATGAAATAAAGAAGGAGTAAGAATGCTGATAATATAATCGTAAACTGGAAAGAAAATATTGGTGTTTCTTCTGGGTATTGATGATATGGTACGACCATTGGAGATAGGAAAAAGGAGGAGTAAATTTTCAACAAAATACAAAAAAAAGTTAATATAAAAATTTTTCAAGAAAAAAACTTGGAAATGTCTGAGTTTAAAAATCAGAATTAGAAATCAGAAATTTTCTAAAAAGAAAAAGAAAACATGGAAATTTTTGACTTTTCAAAGTTTCTGAATTGTTTTGGGGAAAATTTTCAGCAAATTTCTGAGATTAATATAAAAATGTCCAAGTTGTTTTCTTGCAAATTTGTGCTTTTCCAAACTCAGAGATTTACTTATTTTTCTAGCAAATTTCTGAGATTGATCTCAAAATTTCTAAGTTTTTTTGGCAGAAAGTTACTCCTTCCATCAGAGACAAACAGTGAAAGCTCTAATATGGCCCTAATACACAGTCATGGATTGGAGAAGTTTGAAATGAGAACTTGTGATTATATAGAATAAAAATATCTTTACTGTTCCACTATGTGGAAATTCATGTATAACGTCAGCAGGTCAAAGGTAACTGGGAACATGCATATACAACAATTTATTTATTTATGTATTTGTTTGTTTGACTGGGATAACGCAGACAAACATAACAACAACACATTGTCTCCAGCTGATGCGTTTCAAAGAAAGAAACATAAAGCTAATTTACAGCTCCAATTCACACAAAGGTAAAAATATGAATAAAGTAAGAACAAAATTACATCAGACAACAAATAATAACGCACAGCTATTAAAAATAACATAATAATGTGAAAAGAAATGCAGTTGAGTAGATATACAATATGTGTGCATAGAATCCAACAAACTATTTATAAAAAGTGGAAAAAAATAGCAAAAATACTGACAGGGCTATTCTATTCTATTCTATTTTTACTTTTTAACATTTTTTATTCTTTTTTTTATTCTATTTTTACTCAGCGGCTCTTATCTGTCTGTATTGAGGTCACGGTTACCACAGCAACAAGACACCTGTTAAACTGCGATTTTTCTGCAGAATGGATGCACCAAATTGTCAGAAAACATACTTTATTTTAGAACTAGTGTTTGCAGAAAACTTTCTTTCCATTTCTGACATTTTTCTTACTTCTACATGATTCCTGAAACATAGATAGGACCTGCTGAACAACACAATGTTCATAAGTTTCACTTTTACACCTGAGAAACTAATTACAGTAAAAATAGGCTTTAAATAGAGTGCTTTGAATCATGTTGTAGCTATTATTACCCAGCTACTCATTTCCTTTGATATTTAAAATCTGGGTTTGCTGTTTTTATTAACTGTAGTTTTTTGTTATGCTATACTTTTTTGAATTTCCCCACTGTGGAACAATACTTTCATTCTGTTATATATCGTTTTGTTTTGGTTTATTTACCTTCCTTCTGTTGAAGATGTATTAGTTGATTTGTTTCAGATTTAATTAAGTTTCATGGCATATCTTTAGATGAGTAATAGTTAAAATGCACCAAGTGATACATCTTAATAAATATCAATCTTTGTTTTCCAGTGCGTTATGAAGAGTCACATCTTTATGTCCAAAAAAATGTTGTTTATTTATAGAGCAGTGAAACGTATGTACCCTGTTAGCAATTTCTTGCTTTTATTTTTTTACAATTTAATGTTTCAGGTAACCCTCCCCAACCCCCCCCCCACAAAAAAAAAAACAAAAAAAAACAAAGAATGACAAAAATCATCAATATATACAAACAACTTTGAATTTATAACTCTAAGTTTTTATTCAGTGAAATTTTTGTAAACGTTTTGCCTTTGATCCGATTTTTAGTTTTGTTGAATAAGTGACAAAAACATAAATACATTCAAAATCACAGTTGATTTATCTGTTATTTTAAGATATTCAGGAATGGAACTCATCTAAAAATAAAGCCACATTCTGATTTTTAAGACATTAATGAATAAATCTCTGACATATACTACAAATAGCAGTACCAGTAATGGTGTCTTTTTAAATTAAATATTTTTAAATAGTAAATATTTGTAATATTCCTATCCTTGTTGTTGTTGTTGTTGTTGTTGTCAGTAATTAATTTTCAGTTTTGTTGTGTTAGTTACGAAAAAGTACATTCAAAATCACAGTTAATTTATCATCTATTTGTTGTTTTAAGATACTTAAGCTTCACATTTTATTGAGGAATTATCATCATCATCATTATTATTATTATTATTGAATCAATAATCGGACTCTTGATGGCTTTTATTTTGACAGTCCCGCTTCCTGCAGCCCTCAGTCCGCTGTCCAGTCCGCAGCTGATCCGGTGATAGTGGAGGAGCGTCGGGGCGCGTCACAGAGCGGCCGGGATTCTGCCTCCGCGCCGCGGACCGACACCAGGCTTTGCCCCCGTTACGAGAATATCGACGGTGCTTTTCTATAAAGGCGCGAGAAAATCTGGACGGACCGGACCAGACGAACCTTTCTGCAACAGGTCAAACAGGAGGAGCCTTCCGAACCGACGGTACCAGTTCCACAGCATGATGCCGGTGAGAAGGAAGAACTTTATATTTCACAGCATAAATATCTAATATTAACTTTTAAATGCTGTAATCGGAGCTTTAAACGAAAATCTATCTATCTATCTATCTATCTATCTATCTATCTATCTATCTATCTATCTATCTATCTATCTATCTATCTATCTATCTATCTATCTATGATTGTACTTTTAGCTGACAATTGAGACTTCATAATCAATTAAACAGTTGGACTGAGGAGAGGAAGTATTGATTTATGATTGATTGATTGATTGATTTATCTGCAACTAGTAGCAAACCAGGGAGATTCCAGTAATGATGGAGTTTATGAAAAAAAAAAAACTATCAAAAAGTAGAATTAAAAAGCTTCGACAGCATATTGGAGTCATTGTGGGCTTAAAAAGGAGGAGTAAATTTACATCCAAAAACTCAGAAATGCAGAGACGAATCTCAGAAATCTTCTAGAAAAAACTTGGAATTTTTTTAGTTTGAAAGTTGAAGATTTGCTAGAAAAAATTCAGAAATTTTGACAATAATCTCAGAAATTTTCAGGAAAAAAACTATAATTTTCTACATTTCAAAAGTTTGAAATTTTCAACTTTTCAAACTCAGAAATTTCTGGGGGTTTTTTCTAGAAAATTTCTGGCAGAAAATTTTTCCTTCTTTTTATTTTCCATCTACCATGGCCCTAGTACTCCGTTATATGAATCACCCAGCTAATGGGATTTTTGATTTTATTGCCATTGCTTCGCGGGAAACTACGTACATTATATGATCAACTAAAGTGCATTAATGTTCCTCCTCTGGGCTGTGAAGGTGAGGAAGTGACTGATAAGAGCTTACATGCTTACATGTGTCTTTTTCCAGTCAAAAGTTAATTTAATTGTTATAATAGAGGAACCTGATATGACCTGTTTGAGGAAATAGAGACAAACTTCTCTGTTAACAGTTTTGCTTGAAGCAAACTTCCTACACTGTCCTTTTTTTCACATTTTAAATTCTTTGCAGCATCCAGACTGACTCATGTTTCACAGCTGCTTTCCTTAAAAGTGCAGACTACTGGAATGTCATGCTAATGCATTTTAGGCAAGAATTATTTGTTTATTAGCAACCTTTTATGCATTTCTAATATTATATTTAAAATGATTAAGTGGTTAAATAAAAAATCAGCAGAATGTGGCAATGTTTTTATCCGATTAATCACCAGAATAATCAATATAATATTTGATTACGTAAATCATCTTTAGCTGCAGCTATGGACTTTTGCATGATATTCTTAATGTATCTAAATTTCAACATTATAAACATTGAGACTGTAAATTACCTTCATAAACTGGATCTCCCCTTGAATTTGACTCCAATCTGAGGGAAACTATAACATAACTCAAGAACTCAAAATAGAAGCATTTGCTTATGATATCATTATGTTAAGTTTTAAGAGCTTATTTTATTTAAATAATCCTTCAATATTGATTTAAAAAGTACCAGATTATTTCACTCATAAGACATTTTTCCATGTTAGAAGTGAAATAATCTCCCAGTGGAACTGGTGCTTTTTAAATCTAAATTAAAGGATTATTTACCTAAAACAAACTCCTACACCTTGCTGGAAAGTTAGTTTTCTCTAATTTCTAGTGCACTAAGATATTTGCACTAGAAACTAGAGTAAAACTACAGAGTAAGGTTTTGTGTTTTTGCAGCTTTTATAACGTAAATATCAGTTATAAAAAGAACAGAAATCTGACATAAAATGGTTTATGGTTTGATATCTTCCACCACACACTCTTAAAGTATTGCTTTATTTTACATTTTTCAAACAATTCATTTTAAACACTAAGAACTGGTCAGTACTAACATTTATTTTATAACACACCTGTAAGCCTGTCATGATAACAAATTTTGTTGGACGATAAATTGTCCACAAAGTTATTGCGATAAACGACAACATTGTTCTTCTTTGAGACCATTTTCAAGTAATGGTATAATATTGCAAGAACACATTCTCAAAGATCAATAAATGTTAAATTTTAATGAACATGTAACACTGGAACTGGAAGACATTTTAAATATCCAAAATAAATAAACAAAACAACAGAAACAACAAATAAAATAAATTATGATGTCTCTGTAAACACACTTGTCCTTCAAAAAAAGGGCTAGTTGAGGCCAAAGCACCAGACTGAAGACTTTTATTACCCAGTTTTTTGCAGCAAAATAAAAGCAATAAATGGAAATGATTGAGATTGTTTCAATTTATCACATGATTAATTAATTTATTGCTTACATACCTACCATATGAAATACTCTACTGTAACAACCTTTTTAGTTAAGGTAGATTGTTTTCTAAATCTTTCTGACCTCTTTTAAACATTTCCTGGATAATTTGCTCCATGTTTTTAGATGTTCCTTACCGTACACCTTGGCAGCAACGACCAGCGCATCACGGAGGTTCCCGTCATGCCAGAGATGCTGTGCAGAGACGTTGTGGAGCTCTGTAAGGAGCCTGGTGAGGCCGACTGCTACCTGGCTGAGACCTGGAGAGGTTCAGGTGAGTTTTACATAAATACTGACCACAGCTTTTCATGATTACTGCTCCGTCATAACTAAAAACTGAAGTTATTATCTTTGGACCTAAAGAGGAACGATCTAGAGTCAAAGCACAATTTCAGTTATTACAGATGTAAACTAGTGATCAGGTCTGAAATCTGGGTATAGTGATGGACCTGAACCTTCAGAGCCACATAAAGACAGTTACAAAGTCGGCCTTCTATCACCTCAAGAACATTTCCAGGATTAAAGGACTAATGTCCCAGATCTAGAGAAGGTCATTCATGTGATTTTCTTTAGTCGCATTGATACTGCAACAGCGTCTTCTGACTAAAAACCCAATCAGATCCTGGACGCTGCTGCTAGCGTTTTGACTAAAACCAGGAAGATGGAGCACATAACCCCAGTTCGAAAGTCCTTATTGCTCCCTGTAGCTCGGAGAACAGACTTAAAAACACTGCCCACCTCTCTGTTTTCGATACGATCAATAGGAGATCTTTTTTAAAGATCAGTTATATTTTTATAGCTGGATGTTAAAGTCTCTGTGTTGTTTTCTAACCTTTCAGAGCGTGTGGTTGAAGAAGACGAGCCGATGTTGGAGGTGCTGCAGCGATGGGGCCAGCAGAAAGAGGAGGTGCGCTACATCCTGCGATACCAAAGAGCCTCTGGACACGAAACAGGTTGGATATACCTTATTATCACCAGAGACTATTAAATAATCTTACTTTTATCTTCCAGATTTATTCATCAAAGAAGGGACGAAAGGGGGGCTATTATGCAAAGTTTAATTTTGGCACGTTTTTGTTCTTCCATTGCTTCTAAAACAGCCCAGGTGCTTGGAAAAGTCTTGTTTTAAGTTTATATTTTTTGGTGTTTGGAAAATGAGCCGTTACAAAAACCTTTGTTGAGTCACAATTGATGGGCATTGCACTGTCACCTAGCAACCCCAGCCAAGCTCACCCCGTTACCTAGCAACCCAAGTGGAGTTCCAGCACATTTGGTCAGCTGGTTTTACCATTGTATGTGCCGTACAATGGCTGCTGGAAAAGACATGCATTTTGTTGTGGACTTACCACAACAAAACAGGCATTTTGTTGTGGACATGCGGACATGCAGGAAGGCCCACTTCTGCTTTTCAAATATTTACGGTTGTATAATTTTGCATTTGATCGTCGCCATTTTCACATGTGAGTGTAAACGTAGAATTTGAGGGCGTGGCCAGCAGCTGATTATTCAGATTTAAAGTGACAAGAATTGAGCTGACTAAGATCTAGTTATCTAAGAAAGATTTGGCGCAAAAAATGTAATGAAGATGTTTTGAATAATCCATATACCGATCTGAACCTGTTCAAAAGAAAATGTGTTTATAGAGAACCATCAGATCAATCAGACAGGATCTGGATGAAACCTTAATCCAGTGTGCCTGTATCTAGCAGCATGTAGTGCAAATCTGCAGGAGGGTCTGCAGCTCCCAAAGAACAGATTCAGCATGTATTTCCAGCAGCTCAGGCAGTAATCAGCTTAGAGCTGAAGGAATTAAGTGGGCTGCTCCATCTGTGTTTTTTGTTCACGGTATTTTTAAGTATTGATTTGCTTTAACTTGAGCATATCTCATGAATGGTTAACATATGATTGATTTGTTGTGTGTATTTTGTACTTAACACTGTAGCAAGTCTGAAAAGATACATCTGTTTTTGTGTTCAGCTGGATGCAGAGCTGCAGACCAAACTACTTTGGAAAGACTCAGAGAGAATGGGGTAAGATCTTTATTTATTCAGAAACATTGATATCACACTGCATCATAATGTCTAGTAAAGAAACGCATCCAGAGGTTGTGTAATTTGGCATAATGACTGCTGGATAGAGAGAAAAACAATATGATGACGTGACTACAAAAACTCGGACTGAGCTTTCTGTTGCAGTTCTCAGTTATTCCTCTGGATATGTCGCTGAGCGAGCTGCAGGATCTGGCAACAAGACAGCAGCAGCAGATTGATGCCCAGCAGCAGCTTTTGGCCTTCAAGGTACAGCACACCAAGCGCTCTGCAGCATGCATACGACTACTATTAATAGTTTTACCGAAGGAACCCGTTGTTCTTCAGCCCAGTTTCAGCCTGATATTGAACTGAACCCATTATATACATTTGAAATTGTCTGATTTAATGTTGGAAGACCTTTATGTCACTCATCAGTGTTTGGGCCGTTCTCCAACCTCAGCGATGGAGAACACATCTATTGTTCATACAGAATATTGTGAGTTCAGATTATTCACACATGTAGATCTTATGGGAAAGCAGCTGTCTGCCCGTTTATTATTGTTGTTGGCAGGAGAGTGTGTGCTGTATTGTCAAGGAAATGTACTGAATGGAAATTATTTTATTTCATCATATGATTAATTAATTAATTGCTTATTGCGCCACACATCATGTGTGTAATGAGACACTGTTGCTTTATATCATCCGCTGTTTTCAGGATCATCTTATGCTTTCTGAAGCTGTGATACAAGAGAACGCATAATTTAATTTTGATCCCAGGTTTAAGGTATTAAGTGGTAATAGTGGTTGCTGAGTAACTTTTATCTTGTAGCTCTAAGCACCCCAATTTAATATAAATGTTTTTGGAAGTGTAAATGCTATAAAAAATCTGTCAACTTTTGCTTTTCATGTTAAAAACAATATTAAACTATAATAGCGTCATGTGCCTGTAAATTGATTGATGAAGGGCTTTTGCTGGATGTTGCAGGAGCAGCAGCTGTGTTACCTGAAGCTGCAGGATCAGAGGCAGGAGCAGCATCAGGAGGCATCTGGGCAAGACCGATTGCTTCAGCTGCAAGAAAACATACGCAACCAGGAGGCCAAACTGCTACGGGTCCGGGCTCTCAGGGGCCAAGTGGAGCAGAAACGAAACATAAACTCCAAATTAGGTCAGAGGCTTTCCTTCTTGTACCAACTCTGAAACATTTCAGCATCAAAACTGTTTTCAAATAGCCGTTTTTTCACCGCTGACAATTGATCTGTGAGGAAAATATGTCAGATTGTTTGATTATTGAGAAAGAGGGCAAGGAGAACTTCCAACTCCACCTTTTCCACATTCAGCATCTCTTAAAGGAAGTAAGTTGCTGTGTGCAGTGACATTGTGTGTTGGGGATGTTTATTTTCTGTTTGTGCCAGTGGAGGAGATTGAGCAGATGACCAGCCTGTTTCAGCGGAAGCACAACGAGTTGGAGTTGGCTGCAGCCAAGGTGGAGGAGCTGAGCAGCCAGCTGGAGGCACTAAGAAATGCTCGTTTTGAGCCTCCTTTTCCTTTTCATCCTCACAACTCTTCTTCCGAGCTAAAGGACTTATATAGAGACTTGCAGGTGAAACTTTAGTCATAAAAGTTTATTGAGTGTGCCTAATAATTTAATTATAACAAGCTGGTTAATTGTGACACGTAAATGTTTTGTAGTCAAGGTTTAAACCAGTGACACCAATTGGCCTATCATGATAACAAATTTTGCTGGACGATAAATTGCCCCAGTAATTATTGTTTTGAGGCCATTTCAAAGTAATATATTAATAATGACATAATAATCCAAAACCAATCACAGACCAGTTTTGTAAAGAACTTTTAACACTGGAACTGGAAAATACTTTAAATGTCCAAAGTAAAACGTGATAAGCACTTCTCTCTTCGCAGTGGGGTTGGTTGTGTGCAGCGCTCAGCTTCTGGCACGCTTCACGGCTTAGCTGTGGTTTGATCCACAGGTTTTATTTCACACCTGTGGAAATAAAACCACAGGTTTTTATTTCATAACTGCTTTTTTTAAGCAGTTATGAGGCTTGGTGGCGAAACCTTAAACTGCTGCTGTGCAAGTTACTCAACAGGATGTTGCTAGGTAACCAAAGTTGAGGGAACTTGAAACTGCTTGTTACCAAGCAAGTTGTTGCCAGGCAACCAAAGAGCGAGCGAGTCAGGATCGAAGTCCAGAGAATATTCTATCACATGTATTATCTATGGATATTGATTATGTGTCAATCACAATATATATAGTTATTGATTTATTGTCCAGCCCTATGCTGCTGGGTGAATTAGAGGCCTAAGAATTTAATTTATTTTTAATTTTTACCTTTCAAAGTCAAGTTGTCCGGTTGGTGAATAAGACTGTAGTACCTGTGAATTAAAAAAAGCAGCAGAATTACTGCTCAAGATGGTAACACCTTGAAAACTAAGATTTTCCCCAGGTCACCAAGCAGAAACTCGTCACCTTGTTGATGTTTTAACTTCCTCCTCCTTTCTAGCTGAGGAACAAGCTGAACCAGGAACAAAGTGCTAGGCTGCAGGAGCAGAAAGACAGGCTGAAAAAGAACAACATGGAAGTTGTTGCGATGGATCAACGTCTTGGTGAGCTTCAAGGGAGACTATGGAAGAAAAAGGCTGCCCTGCAGCAGAAAGAGAACCTGCCAGTAAGTTTAAATAATACATGTATCACAATATCTGTTTATCACGAGGAGATAAGCAACAAAGCAAAGAAGGTCCATTACTTTTTGTTGTATTTGTGCACCTTTTTGATTTCTGCCATCATTTGTCAGGTGGCCTTAAACAGCGTCAACCCTCAACATGAGCCAAGCTCCAGAGTAGCAGCAGTGGGGCCATACATCCAGTCCGCCTCTAGGTCAAACTCCCAGCCTTCTGCTGTGCTTCCTTGCCAGGAAACGATGGTGAAGTCGGCATATCCAGATGGCACTGCCACCTTACCAATGCGTGCCTCATCCCGAAAGCCACCAGCTGTACCAGCCAAACCAAGCATTAGTAAGCATAGTGATCTGTTCCTTTTTGGTTTAGACATTTTAAAGATGATTATTGACTCTGAAAGGTGAAAGTTTTCAACACAAAAATAAGTAATTATAGCAACTTTTGTCCATAAAACCAAGTTGCTTCCACTTGCTGCCCTCATATGTCAAACCTCTGCTATAAAAGCTATGGCAAGTTAGTTTTAGTAAAGGCTTTGTTTCTCTCTGTATTTTTAGTATTCTGAAGTTAATCTGAAGTTTACAGTCGAGTATCACACATTACTTGTTAGGAAAGTTAACAACCATTGGTCTGGAGAGACAAAAAATGCATTTGGTCTACAGTATTTAACAAAACCACTGTTTATAGAATGAATTAAGGGACCAAAGAGATGCAGTTTATTATGTTGAGGGTACAAAAAGGCTTCTTCAAAGTCAAAGATTTTAATGTAAAGCATCTTTTGTAGGTGTGGAGACCCTAAAAGACAATGCTTACATTCCTTCCCCTGGTGCTTCACGACTTGGTCACACCGCACAGACGCAGCTAAAGGATAACCAGGTCTTACTAGACTTCTGCTTAACTTCTATTGTTTTCAGCTGCATGACTTTAATGGTTCTGTTTGTGTTTTATTTTTGCTTTCAGTCCAAGTCAACGGTGCCACCAGCAGTTCCCACTAAACCGAAATTATTCCCTTTCTCTGGTCCATCAACCTTTTCCAAGCCTGCCTTTTGGACAGGGACCTTCCCTGGGAAAAAGAAACTTAAGGATCCAGGGGTCATGTCTTCCCACAGCAACACCCTCCCTCTGCACAGCAATAAGGAAAGTCCTCCTGCAGCTGCAGTGCGACCTTACACACCAAACCCCACGGATGTGCCTCCACCTGTGTTTCAGAAACCCCAAACTCTGGCAGCTTCATCAATCTATTCGATGTACACCCAGCAGGCCACCCCTGGTAAAGCCTACCAAGCAGAAGGCCAGGGCACACTGTCCCGCAGCAAACCACGAGGTGATACCGATCCAGCTTCTGTTTCCTTTGTTTTGTGTCAGGGAGTGTAATTTCATATCTGACTGGTGTATGAATACTTTTTGGGCTAACTGTAATCTCAAAATTAAGTTGAGTTGGATTGTATTATCCAAAATGTAGGCTCTATGTTGGACATAGAGCCTTTGTTTTAAAGTGTACTGATTATTTTTGTGTACTCTTTGTCACCGTCTCTTCCTGTGCAGTGTACGGAAAACCAGCCCTTCCAGGTGGCAAGAGGCCGCAAACAGTCAGCTCAGAGAACACCTCCTTGAGATCTGGGCTCTGTGAGTTTGGGACTGATACCATTTCATCTGCTGTCAATGATGACAAAGGTGCAGATGCTGATACAGCAGAATGTGCGATTCCTCGTCCACTCAGTCCCTCCAAGCTCCTCCCGTTCGCGTCCAACCCTCACAGGAACTCTGACGCCGACTTGGAGGGCCTCCGCCGCCGACTGCACAACGCCCCCCGGCCTCTAAAAAAACGCAGCTCAGTTGTAGAGTCTGAAGGCCCGGGTGGATTTAATATTGAGAAGCTTCTGTACCAGCAGACAACTCTGGCTGCCATGGAAACCATTCCTATGAAGAACATCAGTCCACCAGAGGAAAATGTTCAGTCCACAGTTCCTGACGACAGGACCATTAAGAAAGATGTCAGTTCCAGGGTGAAAGACAAAAGTTTAGCTGTTCTGATGTCAGCTGGACACAACAGTAACAGTTTGACAACACCTTCCCTGATCCCAGATCCTGATCCTTTCCTTCTATCCCCACAGGAAGACAAGGATGAAGAACTTTCTTCCACTGCAGCTCAACAGGAGCACTTTCCAGAGGAGATGTTTACTTGGCCACCTCCGCCTTATCCCAGCTGTGAGGAGGAAGAACCTGCAGATGATACACTCAGCTTTCAGCAACTGATTCTACAAGACCCAGCCCCACCTGTGAGTCACAGTTTTACCAGTTAAGATGCTACTGCTGTTGTAAAAATACAGCAGGAAAATGTTCTTCCCCTTACAAGCAGTGACTCTCAAGGTGTCCACAACCCTTTTCAAATGGGCAGTTTGTATGATGAATGAAGACTTAATAAACTATTTCAATCCTCACCCAGATACACCCGTCCATCACCTACACTCCCTTATTGGTGAGGAGCACCCTGGAAAGGTCTCCAGTCCATCACAAGGCTAAACACAGACACACAGGACAAACAAACATGCACACTCATACCTGAGATCAACTTAGAGTAATCAGTTATATTAACAGTCCTGCTTTTGGACTGTGGCAGGAAGCTGGACTAAACATAGAGAACTCATGCATGCACAAGAATAACATGCAAAAACTTCCCAGTCTGGGATTGGAGCTTCGGACCTTCAGTGCTACCAACTGCGCTGCATTAAGGTCTTTGTCCCCAGTTTAAAAACTGTAATCTGGTCTTCTCTGTTTCTTTGGGAGCAGTGGCTTCTTCCTCTCCTCTCCTTCCTTTCAGCCCATGATGGTAGAGGAACAATTTCACCTAAGTAGAAAAAAACCTCAGCCTATAAAGGACCAAACAATTAGCACAAATAACTATTGTTCATTAAGCAAAATATACAGATTCTGGTAATAGACTTTCTGCTCTGTCTTTCAGAGTAAACAGTCAATCCTGCGTAAACCTGGCTCTGACCGCGTGGAGCACAGGACGCGTGTCCAGTTCAGCCCTCTGGCCCTGCTGCTGGATTCCTCTCTGGAGGGTGAATTTGACCTTGTCCAGAGAGTCATCTATGATGTAAGTTACGGTTCTGGCTGATGCTCCCTTGCAAGGCTAGAGTTGTGAATTTGGGTGAAGAATGAGATGGATGATTGGATCTTTCACGTTGCTGATATTGCAGGTGGATGATGCCAGCATGCCTAACGATGAGGGAATCACAGCGTTGCACAATGCTGTCTGTGCCGGCCACACTGACATAGTGAAGTTTTTGGTTCAATTTGGTGTCAACGTCAATGCTGCTGATAGTGATGGCTGGTGAGTCTGATCTTCAGTGAGCTCCTCTGATAAGCTTCACCTTCATGATCAGGAGCACAGTTGACGAGAGTCTGTTTCCCTTTTAGGACGCCCCTGCACTGTGCTGCCTCTTGCAACAATGTTCAGGTTTGCAAGTTCCTGGTGGAATCTGGGGCAGCTGTGTTTGCAGCTACATACAGTGACATGCAGACTGCAGCTGACAAGTGTGAGGAAATGGAGGAGGGCTATGCACAGTGCTCCCAGTTCCTTTATGGTGAGATATGCATTAAACATACGCTACTCACAAAAAGTCTAGGACATTATGCTTTCGAGTTAAATTTCAATCCTAAAATCCACTACGAACATTTACAGGTGAACTTAATGTGACTTTCTCTGAATGTACATGTCCAGCTGTTCAGAGTTTCAGAACTTTTTTGCACAACTTCCTGTTCTCTAACAAAGAGCTTAACGGCAACATTCACAACTGGTACAATCAGAATCGGTGTTTAAACAATCCTCTTATCATGCTCTACACACATTTCGACATCATTAGACCAAGATGAGTCTAACAACTAATCAACAGTACTTCCTCGCCATTGTGAGGCTGCAAACAGGATGTCCTCAGACAAGTGTGACCACTTGGAAAGCTGCCCAGCAAGGTGTCTGATGTAAAACACTAAGTTCAGCTTTGAACAAAAACAAACAAACAAACAAACAGTAATATTAGGGAATTGCTGCTACAGTAAATAAATTATTTAATCTAACCAAGTTTCCTGTCTGTGCCGCTGTAGGTGTTCAGGACAAGATGGGAGTGATGAACCGTGGGGTGGTGTATGCTCTGTGGAGCTATAAGCCTGAAAATAAGGACGAGCTTGGCTTCAGCGAAGGAGACTGCCTGACGGTGCTGAAACAGGAAGGGGAGGTCGAGACAGAATGGTGGTGGGCTCGATGTGGTGACCATGAAGGATACATTCCCCGCAACCTTCTTGGGGTAAGATGAACTGCAGCTTACACTCCACTCCACTTTCTTAGGTGTATGTGATGATTGGTATTGATGATCGGCCCTCATGGGTTATCGGTATTGTAATCAGCGGGAAGAAACCTGATTGGAGTATCCTTAATAAATACTCATTCCTCTCTCAACATTGTGACGCTTTCTAACCTTTTCCAGGTCTTACTTATTTATATAAAGGCTCTCTAATGAAATTCAAATAGTTCTTATTGGTTTAATTTGGAATCTTAGTCTTTTAATGAGAAACTTTTTCTCTTTTTCTCCCAGCTCTATCCGAGGATCAAGCCACGGCAGAGGAGCCTCGCTTAGCAATGATTTATTTCCATTTGAAGGAATCCAAATGAGAAGAAACAGCAGCACAATTACATCTTGAACTACTGCCACCAACACAAAGAACTGTCGCAGAGAAAGAAGAAACAATAGTTCATCAGTTTCCACCGTTAAAATGGACTACAGTGGTTACTTTTCAAAACAGAGCTGCCCAACAAAGACAGAAAACCACATAAAAAACAAGATTTTAATTATTTTGGAGTTCTTCTACAGTTTTAGAAAGTTGATTAATATATATATTTAGAAACAAGTGTGGGAGGGGAAGTTTTGCAGCTTGTTCTATAATAATAGCTAGTTATTGCTTTAGATTTTTCTTTGAAATGGTTTGAACATTGTTTTTTTTATTATTAAAGGCATTTCATCCATCCGCATAGTCCTGTTTTACTGCAGATTTTACCAAAGACATAAGAATTAGCATGAATATAAACATTAAAAATAAAAACACACATTGCCAGGATGTTAAAAGTAAGATACGTCACACATTCTCAGCTTTCAACTTCAACTCTTTATTTAAGAGCTTGAGGAACGATAAGGAAAAGCAAACGTTAAACCTCTGTGTCCGTTTTCAGCTTCTACACTCTGCAGAATCAGCAGTGCCAACTCTGCAGCACACATGTACCCTCCGAATACAGAGCAGAGTCAGCAGCGACTGCATTTCGATAGTGACAAGAACCATGGAGTACATTCAAGATTAGATTAACAATTGCACAAATCCTCAAGAAAACAAAACAAAAAAAGGTTATAAGTTAAAGTCACCACATTCAGGTGTGGAGCACCTGCCCATCACCAAGCATGCAGGTTAGCCTTAACTGGGCGTAGTTGCAGTGTGCATTTAATTCACATAATCACAAACCAACAACACACGTCTTTCACTGCAGCTGTTTTGAAAAAGGAGGTCCGTGTTTCGGATCCAGCTGGTACAAATTGAATTTAATGTGCGCTCGCCTGAACAGATTCACCAACAACCTTCAAAATACAAAAACGTCTTTGAATTGATTGATGCAAATATAGTTTGTGGGTTTTTTTTAAACGCAGGTTTAGAGAAGTGCTACAATGAACATGTGGATGAAGATTTAACTGTTTCTGCATTATGGATGAGTAACAAAACTGGAAAACGTGGATAAATATTCCCTTAAACTATGGATCCATTCCAACACAATGGAAGACAATGAGGGAAAAAAGGAGATAAAGAGATTTTTAAATGTTCATTTGTATAAGTACTAAAATATATTTATTCTAAATACAGACTTCAAAGCAATAGTAATGTAATATGTCATATTTGTTGGAGTTTCAGTACTTCCTCCTGTCATTGGTACGTGGAAACATTTTCCTGAACAGGTTTTATGTTTGACATCATTATCTTCACTCTTTTGTTTTAAATTAAAATAGGAGTTTTTGTAAAAAAATCTACCACAATTGAACCATGTTGAGTGAAATGGCTGTAGGTTCTAATTCAGACACAATTGTATCTTATAGCTTTCAACATCAGATTTGATTTTAAAATCCTAATAAAGTTGGTCTGTGTAGCAGAAACTGAGGCCAATCAAAAAAAAATTGTTATAATAGTTTTTCTGATGCTTTAGCGTTTTAGTTTCACTAAAATATACCAGATCAAACACATTTTAGTATCAGATAGATAACCTGAGTAAAAGCAAAATACAGTTTTATAAGGAATATTTAATGTATTAAACAGCTATCCAAATTAAGAATGAGAATTAAATGAGTTCAATTTAATTTGAATCAAGAAATCACTTAAGTAGAACCTGTCTGGCAGCATGAAGTAGGCAAGCATTTCTTCCAACAGGAGAAGAAGAAGAGACTCATATCAGAGCTAAAAGCCAAAACTACTGCAAGAAGAAAAAAGAGACCAGATGTGAGCCACATCTGGATGAAGAGACTTGCTTTTCATCAATGGATGGAGGAGAAAAAGTGGAACTTTTTGGAAAGAGTGCACTTCATCCATCCACCATGAAGTCAGCAGCCTTAGCAGAGAGTCCCAGCCTTTCTCTCTCTGGTTGAGATTATGTTGGGGAATCCCAACATAATCCCAGTCCAGCCGATAAACTTAGTCCCTCCATCGTGTCCTCACATGGCTCCTTTTGACAAAGAGAAGCAGCGCCTCTACTCTGAGTCTATCCCAGATGACCGAGCTTCTCACCCTTTCTCTAATGAAGAGCCCAGTCACCCTGCAGAGAAAACTCATTTCAGCTGCTTAAATCCGTGATCTTGCTCTTTCGGTCACTCCTCAGAGCTTGTGACTTTAGATCAGGATAGGTACGTAAATCAACTGGTAAATCAAGAGCTTCACCTTTCGACATGGCGATCCGTTTATCGATCTCCGCTCCATCTTTCCCCCATCTGTGAACAAGACCTAGAGATATTGAAACTCCTCCACTTGGGGCAGGAAGCACTCCACCCTTCTCTGGCTCAAGACCAAGGTATGGCAAAAGACGGCCAATCTTTTGTCAGGCTGGCGTGGGTTTTGGTGGTCCAGCTTGTTGCTGACTCGTCATCTGGGCAGAACAACAACTATTGTGTGATTAGTCAGAAATTTAAAGTGGATGTTTGCTGCAGTGAGATGAACTTATCAGGACTTCAACACTTGAGCTTCTTGTGCACTTTGTTCTTGCAACCTTGAGTAAGAAACCAAATATTTTTAGCTTCGTGAAGTTTGGACTGTGGGTTAATATGCATGTAGTTTGGCAGGAGCATAAAGCCAGCTTTTGTTGGTCCAGTGAAATCGTCTCTAATAATCCTGCAGATTCTGGTCATGGTTCAGATTCTGGTCTTGGGGAAGCAGACGTGTTACATGACCGATGCCCTTGGTGACTCCCTCCCTGAAGAGCAGCTTGGCGCTCAGTCGCAAATACTCGGGGTGCTTGATGAAGCGAAAGCGAACAACGGCCCTCTCCCCCGTTCGAAGCTCATCCTGAAACCAGCAGTGAAGGATTTAACAGTCTGTTTCCAAATGCAACACGAATAAGAAAACCCACCGACCTTTCCGTGAAGGCACTCCACCGTAGCCGTCTGCCGGACGTTACCGACATGGACGGTGACCTGCGAACCCCGCCGGAAAGTCTTTGCATGGAAGAGCAGAACAATGGCAGCTTCGAACTGGCAGCAGATGGTCGGGTTCATCTTGGGGCTGACCATCACCATGCCCTGCAATACGCAGGAAGTGGAACACTCTTCATCCATTTCAAAATAAGAGCATGCATATAAACGTCTGATTATATGACGAATTCTTAACAGTTGGGTAGGAACCGGCTACATTTACTCAATTACATTCACTTATGTAACTGTTTTGAAGAAAATTTACTTTTTAGAGCATTTTTATTATGCTTTACTTTTTACTTTTACTTGAGTAATTTTATTATGAAATATTTATTCTCTTACTTGAGTAAAATTTCTGGATTTTTCTACCCACTGACTGAAAAACAAACAAGTTTTAACCAAAACTTCACCAGACACAGACACACACCTGCAGGTCTTGTTAAAGTTTCATAATTTTTCCATTAAAAGAAACTGATTTGGATTTTTTTTTTTTTTTTTTGCCTGGTTTTATGTTTTGTTACTTGTATAAATTATTGTCCTTAAAATATCAGTGTTCCCACTTAACTTTATATTCGGTCCATCTGATTATGTAATTTTTAATATTAAATGATTAATAATTTGATCAGTTACTTTGCACTTGAGTAGACTTTTACCAAATACTTTATTACTCTTACTTGGGTCATTTTAGTTGAGTACAATTTTTGTGCACTCTACCAAAACTTCTACAAAGATGTCAAACTTTTTTCAACTGAAAGTTTAGAAAACATTAAAGCTATGTGCACTAAATGTTTTCAAAATGATCAAAAACGCGATAGAGCTAAATTTGCTCCTCTATTAGCGGGTTAGCAGAAGTGTGCCCACCAGTCCTTTTGGTTATCAGTGAACACGGACCAATGAGCCTGAATTTCTGTCCTAATTATTAACCCAACATTAGATGACCTCTGACCTTGCGCAAAAGTGAGCGATCAAAGTTTCCCAGAGCCAGAGTGGCTGCCTGTCCGGCCTTCAGCACCCTGCAGGCCGAGCGGTTCCTCTGGATGCTGCCCACTTTCAGGCGCAGGAAACGACCCTCTTCAGTGGGTCCAACCACGAGTCGCTCGCCCTCCCTGCAAACTCCACTGGCAGAAAAAATAAAGATGGTGTTAAGGTTTTATTTTCTAACTCTTTGGGATAAATTAAATTAAACTGAATCTAAACTGACAAAAATAAGGTCAACTGACAAACCATCAGCATTGCTAATCTATGCGTTAGCAACAAAATGGCTAACTAGAAGATTTAACCTTTAATTAGACCATGCCATCTTACCTGTACAGAGTTCCTCCAACAACAGTCCCAACATCAGGGACTGAGTAGATCTCATCCACCTGCAAACACATGATTGGACATGTGTAGCATAAAAAACAACTTTTAATATGGATGATTTCATTCATTAAGAGAAAAAAACTATCCAAACCAACCTTTTAACATTTAGGACAGTACGATCTGTATTCTTTTTTCTGAAATCCTACGTAAGCTTTATTTATTCTAGTTTTTGGAGCTATACTTCTACATCCTGCGATGGGACTAGAGCTGGGCAAAAAAACAATTTTATCAGTTAATCAAATTTTGGGTTTTTGAAGATTTAATTTTTGGAAATTTGGCTTTTTATCTTTTATCACCGAAGCACTCCTTAGGTTTCTTGTTTGACAAGCAGGTTTTACAGTTTCTATTTATTTGGATTTTGAATTCATATAAATTTTATGATCAGTTATTAGGGCCAGGCTAGGATTTTTAATGTTGTTTTTAATACAATTTTGTGAATAAAGTCATAATATTACATGACTACCAGAATAAAGTCATAATATTCGGAGAAAAGATTTATGCAAACATAATTCGTATATTTAAAAAAAGGAACTACACTGGCTGGGTGATCACATCAGAACTTAATAACTCTAGAGAAGCTTTTTTTTCATGAAAACAACTTTTTCTAATAATTTTTAAGATATTCTTCCACTATGTTCTCGTAATTAAACAAACAAAAAAAAACTTGGAGCCTGTCCCTAATAGTCTGCCGCACAACTCAGCGAAGGGATGATTAAAGCCACTTTTTGAAAATATTTTCTGTCATTTGTGATTTTTATTTTTTGGAAAAGAAAGTGAGAAAAATAATCGATTAAAATCTTAAATCGGATCTTGTACAAAAATACTAATAGATTTTAGATTTTAAGAGATTTAGCCATATCGCCCAGTCCTAAAAGGGAGGGAAATGTAACCTCGTGTCCATGTTGTGTGTGTTTGTGGACCTGGAACTCTGTAAGCTGCTGCATCAGCTCCTCCTGTTCTTTGCTGTTGCTAAGCGGAGGAAGGATGTTCAGGAAAACCTTCAGGAGGTCGAGGCTTTCTCCAGACACGCTGGACAGGGTGAAGATGGGTGTGATGCTACACACACAAAAAGGCAGACAAACAAGAGTAACGATAAAACAATTTGTTTTGAAGGGCAACACAGAATAAACACATTTAGTGAGAAATCTACAACAAGGCCTCAGGGCCATTGCAGAAACAAAAAAGGAGTAAATTTACAAGAAAAAAAACTCATACATTTTGAGGTTGACCTCAGAATTTTTCTATAAGAAAACAAAATTTCTGAGTTTGAAAAATTTACAATTTGTTAGAAAAAATTTTCAAA